GATACTGAGGTAACTTCATGCACCCTTGTATATGATGATTTCATCACGGTTTCACAAAGAAGCATGTTTGTTTTTAAGCTAAGCTTGATCAGTCGAATAATTGTACAAGCCTGTTTCATGAGGTTTCTGCAACCAGTCTGTACAGGATGAGGGAAAGAATGATTTCAAGCTCCAGCTAGTATGACCGAGGAAAAACCTAGCAATTAACTTTAACTCCTCTAATGCCAGCATAGCTGCAGACTGGAAATCCCCAGTTAAATTCTATTCCTGCTTTACCATAATAATAGAATGGTATGAATATATATTGAACATTTTGCAGATAAGCTGATGGGAGATGCTTTAAAACTTTTGCACTGCCAATCTTTTACTAAACATGACACAGCATATTCTGGCTGTGGGGATGTAATGTATTCCAGGGATTGTGTTGTAAAGGAATGAAAGCTACAGCTTGTTGCTGTAGTGGTTACGTCGCTCTGTTGGTATAAGCTGACTGAAACTTACTTTTGCCATTTCTTCTTGTAACTGATGTTTTGAGTTTAAATTATCCTGCTAAAAATACATGTTTTTACATGGCATTAGGTTGCTCTTAATTTATGATGTATAGGGTTGTGAGTGAGCTGCCACCAATAATAGAATGAGCGTTGAGTTCCCTTTTTCTCTGTGTTCATTGTTTTTTGCAACAAAAAATGATTTGAGCAGTAAATATCTAATTAAACTGGCCAAGGCCAAGGTTTTTGTCTGTAGGGTATATAGCAGGGTTCCTCAACCAGAGTTCCATGGAACCTTTGGGTTCCTCCAGAGGTTGCTAGGCGTTCCCTGGGTAATGAGCAATTCCTGCATCTCAGATAAGTTCCCACTGGCACCACATAAACTGCATTATGTGTAGGTGCTTGGACTCATTAAAGGGTTGTTGTGTTGTTTTTGTTTTGTTTTTTTTTGTTTGTTTGTTTTTTTTTTTTAATAACAGACCTGCTATACTTACCTGCTGTGTGCAGTCGTTTTGCACAGAGCAGCCTGGATCCTCCTCCTCCTTGGGTCCCCTGCAGGCTCTCCTGGCTCCTTCTTTCTGCCGGGTGCTCCCACAGCAAGCAGCTTGCTATGGGGGCACCCACTGGTCCGTGTGCCCATTCACACACAGAGCTGAAGCTTGGCCCTGCCCCCTCTCCCTCATTGGCTGCCTGGATGTGATTGACCGCAGCGGGAACCATTTGGCTGTCTCAACCAATGAGGAGGCAGAGACCCAGGCCAGCCGAGACGGTCATTCGCATTGCTGGATCACGACTGGGCTCAGGTAAGTATTGAGGGGGGGCTGGGGGCACTGCTGCACACAAGTTTTTTTACCTTCATGCATAGAATGCATGAAGGTAAAAACCTTGAGCCTTTACAACCACTTTAAGGCATTTTCTAGTGTAGCATTCCCTTTATCCAATGGCAGATAAGGAGGACCTCTGGGTGGCTCATTGGGCTAGTATTTCAAGCCTCAAGGGAGAATCCCTGTCTCCTTTGTGGGGGCAAAGGAATTGGGCACCAATTACTTTTAGTTTTTTGTCTTTTAAAGCACAATAAACTCAAGGAGATGGATTAGTGCACAGGATACCCAAAATAGAAAAGAAGTGGCTCCAGACTTCTCTTCTAGCAGCAGTCAATACAGACCTTTTGAGTGGCAATCTGTATTTATAGACGGTTAAGCACAAATACCTTGATGCACAGCCAGAACTTCCTGCATTGTCCACCAGCAGCATTTTACCCAGCATTCTAGGACACTATTCTGCAGTGAATTCTCGTCTCAGGATGCTCCTTGTGCCATCTTCCTGCTGCACTCTTTCTGGATGTACCTGTCACAATCATGCACACAGGGAGAGGTGCAGGTCATCCATCCTGCTCCAAACTTCTACATTTTGGGTATTTCTCTCAAACTCCTATGCAAACACCTGGAGGTTTCATGTATCTCCTCATTCCCCTCCCTCAGGAATGCAAGCAGCATATGACGCTGAGCCTGCCTAACAATCCTTTTGCCAAATAAGGTATTGGTTTGGCTGTGATAGAAAAATTTCAGTGTGATTGTCTTAGATAAGAAGAGCTTTCTCTCTTCTTGAGGTCAGTTAGAGAGAACGGTCTGCGATACAAGATCTGCAGACAGAAGGCAAAGTCTCCTGCGATGAGTCAATGGAATTAGCAGTAGAGACAAGAAGCAAATCATCCTAGAACTCATGAAACTTGAAGCTGCTTGACCCCAGGCATTTATTTGGCAAGTACTTATTTACCTAAACTTCTTTCTGTTATCTGTTTGCTGTGCTGTCGTGCTCTGTATATTTATATTTTTGTGTGTGTGTGTGTGTGTGTGTGTACATCTTCTTTCTGTAAGTATTCGTACTGCACCCTTTTAACCTTTTGGTAATAAATCTTACTTTCTGAAAGTTTTGAATTGTTTCTATAACTCTTAATTGCAATTTAAGAATCCCTGCCTCTAAAGAGACGCTACTATGAGTATTTAACCCTCTGTATAACCTGTCTGTGGAGATAGCGGGATACTGACGGTTAACCAATCATCCTAGTGTACTGCTGAGTTTCCTCTTTCTCTGTATAAAAAGGCGGTGGTGGCAGTGTGAAGGGTTAATTGCGTAATTAACCTGACCCAGTAACAATCGCTTAGGCTGCAGGTACACAGACTGTAGTCCATTAGCTGGAAAATCTTTGTGCGGGGTGCAGCTAGGCGTAATATTGTTACGCATGTCACATCGCGGTTTTAGATCAGCCAGTCCTTCGGTTACGAGTTTGGTGAGAGAGGCTGGGGTCGGACGCCGCGATCGTGACAGTACCCTCTAGCAAGGCAGCATATTCCCTAAGCCCAGGTTCTGGCTCCTCTTTCTGTAACAACCTTCTCCAGGCAGCAGGTCTGTAAGGCAAAAGACCTCTACAAAGCCTGGAAGGACAAAGACCTCCTCCTGGGAGGGGCCCAGGAGGCAAAGACCCTTCTCCAAAATCATCCCATATATTTATATCCTCCCCCAGCATGAGCATGCACTATTGACAATAAACCTCTTCGCTATTTGCCAGAGAGGCTTAAGCATTCATAACTCTCCTTTCTTCTTGCTGTATCTTCTAGGGCTGCTCACTAACAGGCTGCAGTAAACAATAGTCTGAACTTGGGGGAAACCCAGTGTATGCAGAACAATAACAATTAGAGCTTAGGCCAGGGGTGGGCAAACTTTTTGACTTGAGGGCCGCAATGGGTTCATATATTGGACCCAGGGGGCCGGACCAAGAGTAGATGAATGATGTGTATGTGTCATCCATAGTAAGTATAGTAATATTCACCCCCCATATAGTAATTCATCCCTCATATAGTAATTCATCCCCCATATTATTCATCCCCCATATGAAGTCCCCAAGTCCCCCCTGTGTCAATTCACTTACCTTTGCACCGCGCGTTCCTCTCGCCGTGTTCCCGCGCCGTTCTGGTGTAGCATGAAAATCTGTCTCCTATGAGGATCTGTCCCCCTCGACGTATCTGCGCATGTGCCAGTTTCAGGCATTAGTAGCCGATCGGCGATCTCCGGCACATGCGCAGATACGTTGAGGGGGACAGATCCTCATAGGAGACAGATTTTCATGCTACACCGTCTTCAGGGCGGACTGTGAGAGGAGCCTAGCGGGAGCCTAGCTCCGCGGGCCGGATTAAAAGGTCCGCCGGGCCGTAGATTGCCCATTGCTGGCTTAGGCTAACTATAGCCCAGATTCCCCTAAAGTTAAATTAAAAAAAAATTGCAAGCTGTTTTATTGCAAAAGAGACATACTACATCTTTTCTGCAGTAGACCTACTTACTGCCTGCCCATGGATTCCCAGCATCCCCTTTGCGTGATGTCGTAATCTTTCTAACAACTTTTTCCTAAAAAAGTAGAGATCCAAATTGGGCAAATTTTTCTGCTTGTGGGGGAAACAGTAACCATCAACTCGGTAACATTCCCTGAGCAAGTTGGTCCAGAATAATCAGCCATGGTTGGCGAGGTGCCTACAAACGTACCTTATAGAACTTGTTTGTCAGCATGAACTTTGTGGCACCAAACACTGAATTGCGTGTAGCAGATGTGTTGCTCGCACTTAAATGGAAACTACATGGCCATTTTTATTATAAGGGCAACTCTGCAAATGTTTACATTGAACTATGCAAACCGAGTCTAGTTTTAACTTTCTCTGTCTGCTGATAGCAGTTGCACTGTTGGAAAATGTAATGAGCATGACAGCTGCTTATTTAAACTTCTTATGTCACGCACTCTTATGAAGAAATGTATAGGTTCAATGACACCCAGTCTGTGACCTGCAAGAGGTAGATTTCCTAGCTACCAAATATACCATAGTTGGGAATGACAAGTCAACAACAGCTTGCGAAATAAGTATTGACGTTGTTTTATATAGTACCTGATCCAGACTGACAAGACAGGATGCATGTCTTGGTAGACATGTTGAAAAGACAGAGTTTTTGTAGCTGTGGAAAAGAAAATCACACCACCCGCACACAAATATTTGGTAACTGGTAATGGTCTTGGTAGATCATTTTACATTTCACAATTTATTAATTTTATTAAAATAGCTACAGTTTCAGCTTTTAAAAGTTGCACATGCAGGCTCATTTCATAAAGATGGATAGAGCATATCTATCTGCCATGTCCGTCTACATTTTTCTTTGTACAAGTTTCCTTTGAAGGGTTGTTACTTAGAATCGGTACACATTTTGATCAATTCAGTAATGCCAATACAGGAACCCAAAGCAAAAATACTGACATGACTCAACTGTCAGTCTGAAATTTGCTGTGGATTACTGTACTTAGCCTATCATTGCTGCATTTTACAGCATGTACAGCATTGCAGGAGAAAAATGGGCTGGTCTTGAGTTATAGAAGCCAAGGTAAAGTCATAGAGTCCAGTACATGAGGTTTATTTTGCTGGCTTATTGTAATTAAACTTGCTACTACAAACACCTGTGACACTTTTTCCGCAGGTGAAAATGAACTTCTTGAAACGCTTCGAAATATAGCATCAAAGAACAAGCTCTGGAAGTCCTATATTGGCATGGGTTACTATAATTGCTCCGTTCCACAGGCCATCTTAAGAAATTTACTGGAAAATGCTGGCTGGTATGTCTTGCTTTTTTCACACTTGTTTTTTGTAAGGCACAGCTTTTGAAATAATAAACAATCCTCATAGAGTAAAACTATATCTGAAAGGGTTGTCATCTTCTCAAATTATTACATTAACTCTGGCTATGTATAAAGCCATTAAATCATGACAAATAAGACATCTCATCTCTTTATTATTTTAGTAGCTTAACTTTGAATCTTCTCACATTTTATGTTTTTCCTAAATTGTGGTACCCAAAACTCAACCCAGTATTTAAGATTCAGCCCTAGAATTCATTTATACAGGGGTGCCTCTGTAGTATTGTTGCAATAATATTTTAAAAGCTCTCTCTCGAAGAGCTTCGAAAAGCCTATGTGTGCATGGACACCTAGGAATAACATGTAGTAGTTTTTAGAGAAAGGAAAAAAAAAAAAAAAACCAAAAACACCAGACACCCCTAGGAGCAGCGGTAAAATGCCCTGTGTGCATGAGGCCATGAGAGAAAATGGGCTCCAAACAGCCTACCATAATATTTTTGCAAATTCTGAATAAAGCATTTGCCTGTATCTTGTCTGTGTGTCTGTCTTAGTGATCCTAACTTCGGTGCCTAGTGAGAACAAGCATGTAGCCAGTCCCAAAATTCTGAATTGCTGTATTACATGGTGTGCAGCTCTTACCTCAACCTCCCCAATACTTACCTAAACCCAATCTTGATCGAGCAATGTACATGAAAGCAGTGTCTCTCACACGTACTCTCAATGCCTTAAAAGGAAATTCTACGTATATAATTGATACAAGATGGAGTCTCCTACTCTAAACTCTGATCAAGGCCCATTTGAGTTGTACAGTCCCAAATAAATGGGCCTTTAAAGTGTGATATTAATCATGTTACATTTTTTTTTTTTAGGTACGTACAAATCTTGTTTTATATTTGTAGTACACATTTTTGTTTTTACTCTGATTGCGCTGACACCTTGTGGACAAGTGAAAGGAGTGCCAGAAAAGATTTATCTCACTGCTCGGTGTCATGGAGTCTATATTTTATAGTTCTGTAGCAGAAATTTTGGGAACAAATTTCTGACTTTTTTCTTTTTATTAGCTACAAATTTAGAAACTGCACTGCTCAAAAAAAATTAAAGTAACACTTTGAAAACACATCAGATCTTAATGCGGAAAAATCTCATGCTGGATATCTATACTGATATGGACTGGGTAATGTGCTAGGAATGTAAGCATGCCCCATCGTTTGATGGAAATGAAAATTATAAATCTACAGAGGACTAAATTCAAAGACACCCTGAAAATCAAAGAAACAAAATGCTGCAGCAGGTTTGGTTTATTTGCTGAAATTTCATTGCAGCAACTCAAAATGGTACTCGGTAGTTTGTATGGCCCCCACATGCTTGTATGCATACCTGACAATGTCGGGGCATGCTCCTGAGACAGAGGGTGTCCTGGGGTATTTCCTTCCAGATCTGGACCAGGGCACCACTAAGCTCCTTGACAGTCTGAGGTGCAACCTGGCAGCGTCTGATGGACCGACACATATCCCAGAGGTGTTCTACTGGATTTAGGTAAGGTGAGCGTGGGGCCATTCAATGATATCAATTCCTTCATCCTCCAGGAACTGCTTGTATACTCTACTCTCACCACATGCGGCCGGGCATTGTCATGCACCAGGAGGAACCAAGGACCTACTGCCCTAGTGTAGAGTCTGACAGTGGTTCCAAGGATTTCATCCCGATACCTAATGGCAGCCAGAGTGCCATTGTCTAGCCTGTAGAAGTCTTTGCGTCCCTCCATGGATATGCCTCCCCAGACCATCACTGACCCACCACCAAAACTGTCATACTGAACGATGTTACAGGCAGCATAACATTCTCCATGGCTTCTCCAGACCCTTTTACATCTTTCACATGTTCTTAGTGTGAACCTGCGCTCATCTGTGAAAAGCACAGGTCACCAGTGGCGGACCTGCCAATTCCAGTGTTCAATGGTAAATTCCAATCAAACTCTATGGTGCTGGGCAGTGAGTACAGGCCACCCTCATGAAGTCTGTTTCTGATTGTTTGGTCAAAGACATTCACACCAGTGGCTGCTGGAGGTCAATTTGTAGGGCTCTGGCATTGCTCATCTTGTTCCTCCTTGCATAAAGGAGCAGATAGTGGTCCAGCTGATGGGGTTAAGGACCTTCTATGGCCCTGTCCAGCTCTCTTAGAGGTAACTGCTTGTCTCCTAGAATATCCTCCATGTTCTTGAGACTGTGCTGGGAGATGTAGCAAACCTGGCAATGGCAAGTATTGATGCGCCATCCTGGAGGAGTTGGACTGCCTGTGCAACCTCTGCAGGGTCCAGGTATCCCCTCATCCTAGATTGTAAGCTCCAAAGAGCAGGGCCCTCGAACCCCTCGTGTATTGTGTTTGTTACTGTATTGTCTCATGTACTGTCCCCCACTATAATATACAGCGCTGAGCAAACTTTTTGGCGCTATATAACTACTGTATAATAATAATAATACTACCAGTAGTGACACTGACCCTAGCCGAATGAAAAACTAGTGAAAAACATTCAGAAAAGATGAGTAGGAAGAAAATGTCAGTGGTCTCCACCTGTAAAACCATTCCTGTTTTGGGGGTCATCTCATTGTTGCCCATCTAGTGTACCTGGTAATTTCATTAACACCAAAGCAGCTGAAACTGATTAACAACCCCCTTTGCTACTTAACTGACCAGATCAATATCCCAGGAGTTTAATTGACTTGATGCTATACTCTGATTAAAAAGTGTTCCTTTTAATATTTTTTTTTTTTTTTTTTTGAGTATATAATTTGTGTATATATTTGCATTTAATACATGCCTAGGCAGCTACGATTTGGTAGTGTGATGAGATTATTAGCAACTGCATTAGTAGAAATATAGCACGGTGAATTAGAATCTAGCTGAAAATGCTGTTAATGATAGATAATTTTGGCATTATTTATTTTTTATTGAAGGGCTTTGTCACTCAGTGGGCCATTTGCATGCATATAGTGCATTCATACACATCTGGTATATGTCACTTTCTGCTTGAAAGGGGGGTTGAGACAATGCAGAATTTTCTTTATTAACATTAGATTTGGTCAGGTGGTTTTAAGGAAGACTCACCCATCCATTGAGGAATCAGACTGGAAAGAACATGATGAAACCTTTTTAATTCTTTAGAACAGAAATGGGTAGAATTTGCTGCAAAGTTTGCAAATTTCTTGCAGTGTATATGGCTCACCTAGAAGGGAGGAATTGTAGTTACTATTTTTAGAGTATTTCTTTCTTTTTGTGTTACCTATAGTTCTACTTTAAGTAAAGTAAACCTTTAAAGATACCGTTATTTAGGGAACAGTGACAAGATCTGTAAAGCTCACGCATTACCTGCCTTACACTCTGCTCTTCAGTTTTCCCCAATGCTCCTTCCTCTGTTGCAGCCACCACCAAGTCATCCTATGTCCATGCACAAAGGGAGGTTTCTCTCTCCATCTGCAAGGCCCGAGCACTGCATCCAGGGAGGATGTTGCATGTTCCTTTTTAAATTCTGAAGCACTGGGTAGTTTGCAAGTTTACTAAAGGATGTCAACTGATTTGGGTCTTTTTTAATTACTATCTGCTTAAGTTAATTGATTTGTAAGTAACTGATATTATTCAAATGTTTTATTCAGTAACCTACATTATTGATCCACCCTGCCCCCCCCCCCCCCCTTTTTTTTTTTTTCTTTTCTTTTTTTCAATCATACATAGGTAGATGCAGCATTGATGCGATGCTGAATCTGTCCTCTGCTGGCTCTAAGGCTGAGAACTGAGCAATCCAACACCACTGTGAGCAAAGAGTCGGGGCTTGGCTCTGACACCCCTCCCCCCTCCCCCAGCACTCAACTCAACTCACTGGGGAGGGTCAAACAAAAAGGGGTCACAGGAGTGCAGAATGACCTGAACTCCTATGATCCACAGGAGAAGTGCAGCCAAATGAACTTTGGCTGTACTTCTCCTTTTTTAAAAGTCGTGAAACTTTTAAAAATGTATCCAGTGTGATATTCTTAAAGTGTGTATGTATAACCAAAATTTTGTTTTGAATAAAGTAGGAAATGGTTAAAACCCCTTTTTCAGGGTATTTTTGCTATGTGTCCTGCTGGGGATATTTCCCTTTTTTCTTTTCTTAAGGAAACCTTAAATGAGAGCCGTGAGGGAATTTGCGTTTTGGACAGTTATCTCTTGAACATTGTCCCCCTTAGAACCTTTCCCCTATACCTCTTGCTCTCATAATAACTCTAAAAACTGTTGGGTTTCCTCTTTTACTTTGTCTTGGTGCCCATCATCATTGACCTTTCCACACTGTCCAACTCTAAAGCTAAATAAATTTTGCTTTTACATAGACTTCAGTTCTAGGAGAAAACAATTAAAAGTGGATATCAAGCTTGCAAAGAGTAAACCTGTTTTGAATGCTGCTGGATACAAGGGGGTTACAGAGATCTGTAATAGCCTCCTGTTAAATAACACATTCTGCTGGGTTAAACTTTTCATACCATCAATGCTGTTTTTATATATTTAGCTGTTTGGATGGGGTTATCCTTTAATGTTTTGAGGATTTTCTTTTTTTTTAACCTTTCTTATGTGGTGGGATCTTTTAATGTGTTTTTGAATGGGATCTTTGACTACTAAGACTATAAAGCTGCCGTTTAAGGATACATACTGATAAAGCAGTTAACCTCCTTAACCTTCCATTGCTTGCTCAAATGGCATCTGTCTCTGTATACCGGGGTGGGGGGGGTGATTTTGTTTTGCTTTGTTTTTTTTTTCTCTTGGTCTGTAAGAATGTGTGTCCATTCTTGTATTCAGAGATATCAACCTGGAAAAAACTGTTTTATAGTGTAACATGGATGTACAGTCAGGTCCATAAATATTGGGACATCGACAAAATTCTAACATTTTTGGCTTTATACACCACCACAATGGATTTGAAATGAAACGAACAAGACGTGCTTTAACTGCAG